CTTGATTTTCCGGCAAATTTTTCCGCCCATCCCCTTTAAAGTTTTTTGTCGCCAACGTTCCTACGTTGTTCTTGTTCGTTGGTGTGTGGTTTGTCCGTACAATCTCCACACGATAGCGGTTTTATCCTGGGAGGAGAGTGCCCACGTTTTTCCGATACGGTAGGCGGGCACTACTACCTTAAGGACAGCTCTGGCGACTCCGCTGTCCTTCCGTGGTGTTTTCTTTGCAGGAACAGTTCATAAAGACCTTGCTACATTTTGTCCTAGTGCATAATATCCTCGCAGCCCAGTGCATAATGTCCTCGCAGCCCTGTGCATAACGTCCTTATATTGCTGTCCAGTGCTTAAAGACCTCGCTGTCCACTTTGTTCATAAAGACTTCGTTGCGTTCTATCCGGTGCTTAATGTCCTCGAGGTCCAGTGCTTAACGTCCTCATACTACAAGGCTGTTTGAAGATATAGAAATTTATTTTTCAACTTTATTTATTTTGTAATATTCTGAATAATTATAAATTCAGAATTTTATTTATTTTTATTTCCGGGGCCGTTCATCTTCCCCGTCCGTTGTAATCCGTACGAGAATTGTAACAATAATTAGAGACTCAATAAACTATATTATCTCCACAGTACACGAAGTTGCTACTCCAATAGTGTGAGATCTTGATTCATCTAATGAAGAAAGGAATATCATCATCGCAAAAAGAGATAGATTCTTATAAAAAGTCCATGAGACGCACTCTGCAATAGTCTTTGTTATTCCCTTTTGGGGAGGATGAATGTCAAGAAAATATCTCTATTAGGGATTCATTTTTGTATTGAAAAATATAAAGCGTCAGGTAGTATCAATGAGAGAATTTGATGCATTTCAAATACAAGAAATTGAAAATGATGGTGGTATTGTGTTGCTTGCACAAAGATTGTATTTAGAATTTTTTATTGATGCATACACGATGGTTGAAGCACAAAGAATCCAGTGTGTGGTTAAACCAAGATCAAGTTAGGGAGCAATTATGAGTGGCTTACATGAAGTTGTGATGAAAGATGATACTGAATTAGCAACCATTGACCAATGAATTATCCTATCATCTACATTCACTTGGGGAATGAGATGCATGTTTAACAACTAAAAAGATGTAATGGCCATTTGTAGAAGATTTGGTTATCCAAATTTATTAACTGATAGAAAATGTAATCCCCAATGGCTATAGATTGCAAGATATATGACAATAAGGAAATATAGAGATGAAGACAGACATGACATTGAATCTAGAATCTTTAAAATGAAATTGGATGATTTGGAGGACATTAAATAGGACTTATATTTGGTGAAGTAATAAAATGTAATCTAAAAGATTGCTATATTAGTTTTATTTAAATAATAAAGTTGTTGTAGCTTGGACATTCAAATTTAAAGTATCATCATTTGAATGTAATTACTCTGTGCATGTTTTTACACTGTTGACTTTTAAAAAAGAAATTTGACTCATGCACATATCCTGATATAACTACACCAAAGTGATAAAATTCAATCTCCCGAGTAAATTGATCGTGTGATATGTGCATATAAGTTATTAATAACGACAAATATTCTAGATTGTATTAATCTGTAACTCGATTGATGATGCATGATCCGTATGGAACAAAACTCTATTTATGGACAATGATAAATGCATGAAATATTTTCTCAAAAATTTTGTTAATAAGACATCATTTCATGAGAATGGCTACCTGATATACATAAAAATAAATATGTGGGTCACCACAATGAGAAAAAATATTGAGTTGGATAATCGATTTGTTGTGCCATACAACCCACAAATCTTGATGAGGTATCAAGATCACATGGATATTGAATACTGTAATAAATATATTGCAATCAAATATCTTTCTAAATATGTAAATAAAGGTCTAGATAAAGTAACTATTTAAATTACCCAATCTAACATTGACATTGTTGATAATATGGTGAATTATGATACAAAGAAGTAATATGATTGTCATTACGTATCTGCATGTGAAGCCTCGAAGAGAATCATCTCTTTTGATATACACCATATAATCTATGCTCTAAGTGTCCTTAGCACGACTACGGGTGTAACGATCCTTAGACTTGAAGTATTACGTTCTTCGAATACGTGAACCCGCATACTTTGATTCATCGTCCTAACCCGTATGAAATAAGGATGGTATACGTGGTTTGTGTTGGGTATGCCATTGCACGTATTCGGAGACGTAAATTACGTACATAGAATTTTTCACTCCTATTTAGGAGAAATTTATGTCCTCTTTGGGCCCACTGATAAGATGACTGAGAAAATGCATGGCCATGCTGAGATGAGTTAAGACATCTACCCTATCAGTCAGACTTAGCTTGTTGATCAGTGAAAAACTTAATGGTACAGGCTGGATTTTATATCCTTTGCATTAAGTTAAAACATTAGGACAAAGGGATCTATGTTACACTGAGTTTTAGTCGTGGAAAGATTTTGACGGAGCAAACGTCTGAACTTATAACCTAGGGGGTAATAATGTGTTGCTTGATACCACTTATTACTTATAGTATTTGTGTAGAGTCAATACTATGGCCAGTTTTATAAGTACATATAAGGGTCACACACTTTGGACAATTTAAAGAGTAAAATTATAAGAAGGGATAATATTTAATTTGTATATTGTAAAATCGTAAAATAAAATGTTTTAATATAATATATGTGTATATATTATATACGAAAATATTACACACACACACACACACATACACACACACACACACATACATACATACATACATACATATATATATATATATTCAAAAGGGATGACACGAAGAATGTATAACCCTTTCGTCCCAAAGTATTTATCTATTTTGGTTTTGTAGTTAACTTTGATGACATATTAAATACAGTTTTAAATAAACAATAGTTATACAAATTTGATATATTAATACTACTTTCGTCTTAAAATAATCTTTCATGTTCAATTTACGAGGTTTGAATTGAAAAATAAATATTTTATATTTAAAAACTCTATCAAAAGATCTACAAAACAAGAGTTGACATAACTATATTATTTTATCATATAAGAAATAAAAATAGACAAAAAATGTGATTAAAGTTTGACTATGTGAATAGTGACTGGGAAGACAATTTTAGGACGGAGGGAGTATATCTTAAAGTAAATTTAATTATATTAAATTTTCATTACAATTAATTATTACTCCCTTCGTCCCGGAGCATTCGTCCAGTTTTGACTTTTGGAACTATTCATTTAAGCACTTTGACTCATCAAATTCTCTCAATGTATAAGCCTAAATATAGTCATGTGTGATCTTATTTGATTTGTCTTAACATATAGATTATTAATATATAATTTCTATAATTTTTTAATATACAAATTACAAGATAAAAAGGATTAAAGAAGTGTATTGGATGGTGTGTAAAAATGAAAGTGGACAAATACTCTGGGACAGAGGTAGTATTTTTTTTTAAATTTTTTTTCTTATTAATATTATTGAAAACGGTCGATTACAAGCAGGGGGCCCGAGGCCTGTAAACCTCGTGACCGCCCCGTGGCCCGTTAAACACCCGAGGCAGATAGCCCACTATAAATTACCCAAACTAAAGCCCAACCCCATAAATCTGCAAACACTTCCCAGGGGGGTCACCCATCATTTCTGCTACTCCATAGCCAGCACACTTAACTCTCTTAAAATTCCCCCAAAGTTGCCCCTTCTGAGGTTCGAACCCGGGTGGTGTGGTTCGCCAATCAACCATGTGACCATCTCTACAGGGGGGAATCATATATATATATATATATATATATATATATATATATATATATATATATATACATACATACTAGCAATGGCACGCGCGTTGCGCGAGATTTGGTGCCCGATATTAGCTTTGTCTTTGTGGTTGGGTGTGTTAATATTATCTTTTGAGTGGTTTTTGTGGTTTTGTGTAGTTGATTTGTGTAGTGTACTCTTGTTGTATAATTTGACTATTTTTTAGTTGTGTGTTGTTTAGAAAGTGTATTAAGGGGAATAAATAATATGGTAGACAATTATACAAAGAATAAATGTTTTTTTTACACTTTTAGTTTTGAACTTGGCACTGCAGCAGGTTGGCAACACTCCAACAACATACGGAGTACTTCGTATTACACTAACACAATAAACCATATTACGACTTAGGATAGCAAACAACATTATAACTTAGGGAAATAAACATTAAATAACTTAAGTAGGTCACTAAGAATCCAACACAAGTTTCAGTACATTACTAAATAAGGTCATTAAGGAAAGTAGGAAACACCATGGGTTAGTAGATGATATGAGAGTATGCATGTAACAACACATCATTAAATTGTAAAGAGTGAAAATCATAGAGTTCAACACTTAAAGTTGGGCAACATTTGTTTTGCAAATAGTTATTGGAGAAATAAAGAAAAAGTTATCATCATAATTGATTAAATAATATAATCATGTCTATTTTTGTCAATATTCACAGGGTCAAACTTTATTCACTTTATTGGCCTATTTTCGTCACGTAATTGATAAAACAATATAGTCATGTCTCTAGTTTTTTAAATCTTTTGATATAGTCTTTTAATATGTAATATTTATTTTAAAATTTTACATCATTTTTCGTATAAAATGATTTGAAAATAACTTTTATCAAACATCGTAACGTGCAACGAAAAGTTTATTTGTAGACATAGGGAGTAAATCATTTTTCCCATTGTAGTACTTAAACTTTTTTAAAACCTAAATAATACTTTAATAATGTCTAGTAGCGGGAACAATGTCATTATCAACATTTAGTTTGAACAATGTACAATGGCAGTGGACATTTACTTGAACAATGACCGGTGGACAATGGACAATGAGCAATGGTACTTCATTGGGAGATAAAAATATATAGTACTACATTGTGAAAAAATTACTGTGTTTTAATACTATTTAGGTAAATTCCCCTCTATAAAAACATTAAAGCATAAATTACAATTAACATATATTAAAAAGTTAATTAAATGAGTGAATTCCATAATCATGAACGTGTTCTCCTAAATTTTTCAGTGTTTGCTGACTATCTGCACAAAAACCACATTTTGGGCTAGTTTAGATCTTTGGACACCTCTACTTTGATTGAGGTCATCTACATTACATAAGTATATGAAATTAGAGCTCGAACCAAAACAAAAATCAGAGTGCCTGTGTGCTTTGGCTTAAAAAATTGTTAGTTTTAGGAAAGATTCTGAAGACAAATGCTAGTCAATTAGCACATCTAAGTAGGATTAAATCTTATAAAACATATATAAGCTATTAGTATCACTACAACTTTGACTGAATGTGAATAGAGACAATGAAAATATGTAACGACCTGCAAATCTCATAGAGGATAATTTTAATGAATGGAGAAGTAGTAAATTGGGTTCTTATTACCCTTGTTTTGTATGTGCAAAGGCTATGGGAATCAACGAGCGTCTAGAATCCAAGTGAGAGCTTATTGCGATCTTCAAAATATAGCGGCATGACGGCAAAATTGAACAAAAAAAACATGCATACAACTAATATAAGGGGATAGGCTATTATAAATGAAGCCTTCAGTTGCATTTTCAAAGTTTTTGTATTTGGTGACATAAAATCTTTTTAGTCCTTCATCCAATAAAAATTACGGAATGAAAATTAAGGCAAGAATTGAGTTATCTCAATTATGAGTCACCATTCTCCTCACATAGTTGATTTTCATGTTTATGACCTTCATATAAAAGATTTTTTAAAAATGTATCTACTTTCCACAATAGCAAATACTCCGTACATTTTATCTCCAATTTTTTGAAATGCATAGTAATCTCTAGGGATAGTAGAACCATTAAAATAGAGTCATTAACAATATCCAATAGCTTTTATATGATAGAACATTGATGAGATTTAAATTGAAGGGAGGACTAAATGATGGACCTTTGATGAGATTTAAATTGAAGGGAGGACTAAAAAGATATGGGGTAATGAAAAACATCCATTCTCTAAGTCTATGGTTTAAATGCAGAATCCATTACCGAGTCCAGTCCATAGAATGAAATTATTTTATTTGGGACTGGTTTTTGGGGCTGGTTTTGGGGTACACTCTGGGTTGGGGTTTAATTACTTTTGTGTTTAGAGTTTAGGTCTGTTTTCGGGTCGGGGATTTGGGGTTTTCTGTCTGGGTTTTGGGTCTGGTGTTTGGGGCTACTTTTTTAGTCTGGGATTTGGGTCTGGTGTTTGGGGCTACTTTTTTAGTATGGGTTTTGGGTTTGGATTGAGGTTTTAAGCTTTGGCAGATCATGGCTGAGTTTTGGTTCTAGGTTTGGGGTTTGGAGGATGAATTAACTTTTTGCATTACTTATAGCAAGTTGCTGGCAGAGGGGATATGGAGACTGGAGAGGCAATGAAACTCATTGATTGGAACAGATTGCCTTTGGATTTTCACCAGCAGGAAGGGATACGAAAAGCACACACATCTCATTTGGTCTCATAACTGTTAACCATGATTTATTAAAACAAGATTAGATGCAAAATAGATTTGCACTATGTCAAAAAGTAGTTGCTGGCTGGAACTATGTCAATATTAAATAATGAAAGAGATCAATTCTTTCTTTAGTTGCTGGCCGAATGTGGACAGTGATGATATTTAAGGTGTAATTATGTGCACTAAAAAGTAGGTTGTTTAAACCAATGATAATTTATATTTAAAAGGGCAAAATTTCATAAACAAAAACACAGATCACAACAACTTATCATAGAAATAATGGATTGAATTCAAATTATCACAGGAAGTCAGGAATGATGTTCTAAGTTCTTGCAGGTTTAGAAGAAATAATGGATTGAATTAAGAATTATCTCAAGAATAATGTTCCAAGTTCTCGCAAATGTAGGCATACCTGTAATTAAAAAATTATCCTTCTTTACTTGCAGTAACTGGATATCAAAAGATAAAAACTATCCAAATAACTTGTTGTAGATGGTCCACCATTCCATGTCGAAGCATTGAATATAAATACCCGACTTGAAAAGTTTTGATAGAATAAGGTGCATACGGAATCAATTCGCCAGTGATAATTAAGCTAGCATTCCAGAAATAGAAGGTAAGGCATAGAATTATAAGATTCTCATGAACCATACCTGGAAATCCGCACATCTGATATAATTTGCTAGTCATTAAGATTGAGTATGGTGGGTTGCTAATGTTTTGCCTGGAAATCCCTGTATGGCTACTGTGAAAATTCGAATCAGAACATAGAGAAACTTAGAAATAATTCGAATCGTTCTAAAACTTTTGCACATGTGATATAGTTACAGGTGGCTTAATTATCGATGGCAGTTTTTGTAGACAAAATTAAGCGGCGCATCATCTGTAAAGATCACTGATGCTTTACCAGGAGATAAAGTCAGAAAACCTGGCAAATCGTTGAAATACGAGCGTTCTTTACAGATGCGGCGTTGGATTACGATGGATTGCTGAAGCATCGCCGTGAATTACGCGTGCATAATTTGGGAAGGAATTCCACTTCGGCGCGGTGCATATCTTAACAAATAGAATTGGCATCACCAAATGAATGGGAGTTGAGAATTTGCAAAAAAAAAAATTGTGTTGTCTCCATATTAAGATATGTGCTTGAGCTTTTTCACGTGGCATCGCTTGTTCTGACTTTAGATTTTCGTCCACCAAGGTTAGTTTCACTTTGAGTATTTATAACCTGCAAAATAAAGAATATTTAAATAAGTATACCCTTGACCTTTTTTTTGGAAAATAAAAAGAGCAAAAGACACTAAACATAAGTTATGAAAAAAAGCTCATTGAACAATTTACAGAGGCTCTTACCTTGCCATCGCAAATGAAATGAGAAAATAATTATTAGTTGTTATAAACTACAGGGTAACGTGTAATTGATTGAATGCTCCCACTTGAAGGAATCTCAAAGGCATAAACTCTCATGGATGAATTTTAATTTTTTTAAAAGTTAACATAAGGTCAAACATGATATACCAATCAAAGTTGATATACCAAATATTAAAAAATGAAACCCTTTTAGTTGCAACCTCAAGAGATTTAGAGATTAAAGTAGAGCGAATAGAGTGTAGACCTAAACGTATGAATATGTAGTACTAAAAAATCTCTACTAAACCTAGGTTTAAGATTATGCAGCGGCTATAGTGCCCAGACATCTCTTACAGTGAAGGGTAGTGAAGGGTACACGCAAACCGCAAAATAAATTCAAACATAAAATAATACAAGAGGAAATTAAGTACTCCCTATGTCTATATTTAACTCTCTCCAAAAGATTTCCTTGAAAAATGAGGTTGACTATCAATTGTTGTACACATCTGATCGGAGATTTCAACTATGACATCATTTCCTAGAAGCCTTTTAGCTGCAACGTCATGAGATTTTGAGATTAAAGTAAATCCAATAGAGTGTAGACCTAATGGTATGAATATGTAGTACTAAAAAATCTCTATTAAACCTGGGTTTAAGATTCTGCAGTGGAACATAATTTGTATTAAATTTAGGTTGAATTGTGCCTAATTCAAGACAACATAAGGTCAAAAGAACTTTGAATAATAGAGATCTGAATTGACAACATATTAAGCTCATGTGGACAAAAAAGCATCACCATAATGAAGGGTACGAAACCATCAACACCATTCATATAGCATGAACTAAACACAGTCCATTTTGGGAATATAGTTCCTTCAAAAAAAATTGGGAATATAGTAGGTAAATGAAGTTGCATATGAAATATAATAGACAACCATCTTGACATTATTGGGATGTTCGAGCAAAGGCTTTCGAGCAAGACACCCAAAACTGAAAATATTAGAGTGCCTGGGAAAATTTGCCTTTGAACCAATTTAGGAGCAGTGTAGTTAAATGATGGCTGAAGGAGCATATAGAATCTTCAACATCATATTCCTGGAGAGTACATCACATGTTGCTTGTTCATTAGTGGCACCAATTATTCTAACATGGATTGAGTTTAAATACAATAATGGCGTTTGGTATATCAAATTTTGTACATTAATATATGTACCAGAAAGCTTAAAGATCTAACTAACATAATACAGTGATACTTGAAAAATTTGTAAGACTGTATAGTGTAAGCATATAACAAAGTAAATTGAGGTGTTAGTGTCTAAATTGATGACCATTTACTCCGAGCATAGTGGAGAAACTGAAAGTTAGATGGATCACTGGTTGATTGAGTAGATATAACAAGATCAGATACAACAAGCTCCATTTGAGGTAATGAGAACCGTCTACAAGATCACAATTAGCATATGTGTCTAAACTACAAGATCACAAATTGCACAGGAAATATAACCTCCTGAGTCAAAACTACTCTTGTAGTGCATATGAAAATGAAGATGACAGTATAACCTCAATTAAACAAAATGTCTCAATTTGTAGAACATAAGAGTAAAACAATCTTATTTTGAAATGAAACTGGGAAAATTATGAGCTGAAGAACAGAAACACATATTCCTCACCCACTGCAAAAGAAATATCAGTTAAAGACATACCACATATTCCTAACTAAGCCCCGTTTAAACATTTAAGAATAGGCCAAAACATATATCGTAACGAATGAGTGAGCAAGATTGAGAAGAAACCTTGAGCCTTGTGAACCTTGGCAAACTGCTGAGGGAAACATCTTCATTACCTGATTTACCTCATGTATGTCTTATTTTAATCAAATTTGAGCATACGGAAAAAACTGAAAAAGAAACATGCATTGAGGATTAAGTTCACAATTTTTTTTAAAGAAAAAGTAGAAAAGGTCCATTGAAGAAAACAAAGGTACAAAGAAAAAAATAATGTACCTAGATTTAGAAAATTCACATGTAGGCTTGTAGGAGTTGTAACAATCAATTTGTAACCAAATGTATTTAAAAACTGAAACACATCAAGAAACCAACCCCACGTGCTCATATATACACATACACACACATACATGCTCATACACACATGTATCAAGGTATTAGCAAGGCTCTCCTTGAGCATCCACTCATGCAGAATGTATCTGAAGAGTGCATCCTCCCTCAAGAACACGGCCTTTGTCAATAACAGCCTAAAAGCATAATGATATGAGTTGCTAATAATTCAAACCTTGTAGTTGTTCCTAGCACTCATCGCATCCACATCAGCTAATTCACTGGATCCACACTTACTAATCTCAACAGAAGGTTTGAGAAAATTGGAAGGAAAGTAATGCACACTAAGAACTTTACAAATTTATATTAGGAAAGATCAAAATGTCAATGAGAAAATTGGGAGAAATGTGAAATTTTGTGTTTGGTGATGAGAAACTTTTCAACCAATAAATGTTAACTTTCACGACGTGGTACACAAACCGCAAAAAAAAACAGTTAAAGAAAAAACCTGAAAAATAAATACTATGCTAATAAAAAAATGTGTTAAATTTGATGGCATTCAATGCAAACCCCAAATACGTACGATCAACTAATAAACCTGAAATAGAGAAAATAATCTTAAAAAGAACCTAGCTATGATGCAAAATTCCCAAATGTGAGCATCAACTTTTCGACAACACCCCTCGACTCCTGGAATAAATAAAATCTTTTATAAAAATTGACATATAATGTGAAAATCCCAAATCTCAACTGAAACCTTGAACGACAGCTTGATAGTGTTTAATTTTCCTCTTAATAAAAAAATTGTGTTAACTTTCATGACATACACCACAATCCCCAAATAACCATTAAAGAACAAACCTAAAGAAGAAAATTTGCCTTTTAAAATGGAAGAAAGAGATTTTAGTTCTATGGTTCTATTTGGGTTTAAAACTCTATTGGTGAGTACAGATTCAAGTTTAAGCACCAATAGATATTTTTTAAAACCTGTATGAAGACTTAACACTTACACTGACTGATTAGTTATTACTTAGGGCATCTAAAATCAATTAGTATGCTATTTGTTTAAAACCTTGGGTAATATTACGTACAATAAAGATAGTATTTTGCAAGGAAGAAAAGTGCTTCCATTGCTATGGTTTTGTTTGGCTTTAAAACTCTACGGGTGAGTACATATTCCAATTTCTTTCTCCTAAAAAACCAGCAAATGCTTTTTCAAGATTTGATTCATTTACTCCAATAATGATGGTATTATTTATACTCAATAAACAAACCAAATACTATTAGAAATATTAGAATGAATTCACAGCATAATATTCATCTTATTAAATTCATCATCAAATGATGAGTATAAATATTACAAAGTGAATAATCAAGACAATCAAGGAAGGTAAGTGGAAGATAATCAAATATCTTTGATTGGTAATTTGATTCCAATCAAGGATATTATCCTAGTCATCAATGCTATTCCTTTGTTTGACACTATTCCTTTGTTTGACATTTCTAACACTCCCCCTCAAGTTGAATCATCTGTTTCGGATGTTTAACTTGCTTAATGTTGCTTGAAAGGTTCCAGCTGGTACTGCTTTTGTGAGAATGTCTGCCAATTGATCTTCAGATCGGACATATGGAAGACTGATGATATCTGCCTCGAGTTTCTCTTTGATAAAGTGACGATCAATCTCGATGTGCTTGGTACGATCATGTTGTACTGGATTTTCTGATATACGAATAGCAGCGGTATTATCGCACATCAGTCTACATTTACCCTTCGGCGGATACCCCAAATCTTTAAGGAGTTTTCTTAGCCAAAGAACTTCAGTAATTCCTCGAGCGATCCCTCTGAATTCTGCTTCTGCACTTGATAGAGCAACTACCTTTTGTTTCTTGCTTTTCCATGTGACCAAATTACCTCCAACAAAGGTAAAATACCCTGAAGTGGATCTTCGATCGTTTGGATTCCCTGCCCAGTCAGCATCTGTGTAGGCTTGAATATCTAAGTGACCATGTTTTTTGAATGTAACTCTCATATTAATGGTCCCTTTAAGATATCTCACAATTCGGATAGCTGCATCCCAATGTTCCTTCTGTGGTTTGTGCATGAACTGACTTACCACTCCGACAGCATATGCAATATCAGGTCTTGTGAGTGCGAGGTATATAAGTGTTCCTACAAGTCTTCGGTACTTATCTTGATCAGCTTGTATTCCTCCCTCATTAATTTGAAGTCCGTGGTTAACCATCATAGGAGTGACAGCTGGTTTGCAATCCATTAATCCAGTTTCAACTAAAAGATCAAGGATATACTTCTTTTGACAAATAAAGATCTCCTCTTGAGATTTGAGAACTTCAATGCCAAGGAAAAAATTAAGTTCTCCAAGATCTTTCATGTCGAATTCCTGGAATAGCTTGCCTTTCAATATAGCCATCTCTTCTATGTCACTGCCAGTAATTATCATGTCATCCACATAGATGATCAAACATGTTATGAGCTTGCCTCGTCTTTTAAGAAACAAGGTATGATCAGAGTTACTTTGACGATATCCAAATTTTTTCATGGCTATCGTAAATCTGCCAAACCATGTGCGTGGAGATTGTTTTAGACCATATAAAGCTTTTCGCAATCTACAACCTTCGCCTTCTCTGAAATCTGACGAGAACCCAGGTGGTGCTTCCATGTAAACCTCATCTTTTAGCTCTCCATGGAGAAAAGCATTTTTCACATCAAACTGATATAAGGGCCAATCTAGATTAGCTGCTACAGAGAATAATACTCGGATAGTATCAATTTTGGCTACTGGTGAGAAAGTCTCAGAGTAGTCAATACCATAAGTTTGAGTATATCCTTTAGCTACCAATCTGGCCTTATATCTCTCGATTGTTCCATCTGCTTTGTGTTTAACTGTAAATACCCATCGGCATCCGGCTGGTTTCTTTCCTGGGTAGAGTTGACATTTCTCCCATGTGTTGTTTTTCTCTAGTGCCTTCATCTCCTCCTCCATTGCTTTTCTCCATTCTGGTATTCGTATGGCTTCATCTACTGTTCTAGGGACTTCGTGGCTGGATGTGTGAAGTGCGTGTGATATACTCCCCCTGACTAGATCAGCAACAGGATATCTTGAGTTCCGAGGTATGTATTCTGGTTCATATCTGACAGGAGGAATTCCTCGATTCTTCCGTGGTGGGAGAACATATCTGTTTGATATATTCAATTCTTCCACGGTATCATTAGATTTATCAATGCAATCATCAGGAGTGGGGGAAATACTAACCTCAGGAGTCTTTTCAGACGGAGTAGAATCAAACATGAGTTCAGAGTTGTTGAACTGTTCAATGTTCTCAAAAGATGATCTCACGGAGTGACTTACTTCCTCGGTTGGGACAGTTTCAGGTGGCAAGATTGGGCTGTGTAACCACTATAGAGAGTCATTCGTAATTTTCTCCCCCTGACTACTAGAGTGGTTTTGGAAATAGTACTCAGTTTCCAAAAAATTACAATCCATTGTCGTGTACATCCGACGAGAAATAGGATCATAACACCTGTATCCCTTTTTGTGAACCCCATACCCAACAAAGACACATCGGACAACACAAGGATCAAATTTTGTTCGTTTGGATTTTGGAATATGTACATATACAGTGCAACCAAACACACGAGGAGTGAGAGTCAAGAAGGTAGGAACAGTGGAAAATTTTGCGAGTGTATCAATGGGTGTTTTGTGATTTAGGATTTTTGTCGGAAGGCGATTTATGAGGTAAATGGTGGTTGCAATTGCTTCGGGCCAGTAATAAGTCGGAACATTTGACTCAATCATAAGAGCCCTAGTGATTTCGAGTATGATCCGATTCTTACGTTCAGAAACGCCATTTTGTTGAGGGGTATCAGGACAAGTGGTTTGATGGATAAGATCGAAGAATACAAATCTGTTTTTGGTATTGTGTGTTGATCAATTTGTAAAATGAGGTGAACTTTTCAAAAACTTCAGATTTGTGTTTAAGAAAGTACACCCAAGTCATACGGGTACAGTCATCAACAAACAATAAAAAGTATTGATACCCATTTGGACTCGGTTCTGGAGATGGACCCCACACATCAGAATGGATTAATGAGAAAGGTTGTGATGCAACTGTATTATTTAACGGATAGGAATGTTTATGAATTTTGGCTAGAATACAACTGTTGCAATGAAACTGACATGATTTATTGAATAATTTTGGAAAGAGAATTTTGAGATACCCCCAAGATGGATGTCCCAAACGACGATGCCACAACCATGCCTGCCTGTCCACTGTCCCATGAGCAAGCGTAGCAGTTCCGTAATGATCAAATTCCTCAACATAGTACAGGCCATTACGCTCAGAACCACGCCCAATGATCTTCCCCGTCCGAATATCCTGTAATAAGCAAAAAGTGGGGTGCATTAGGACCATGCAATTTAATTGTTTTGTGACATGGCTTATTGACAGCAATTTGTGAGACAACGTGGGAACATATAGGCAATTCTCTAGCCAGATAGAATTTGAGATAGATATTGGACCAGTGCCCTCGACACGAGAATAATCCCCATTGGCCGTTTGGATATGGGTTTTCTTGGACCAATTTAGAGAATTAAAATCGGAATGGTCGAAGGACATCGTGTCAGTAGCCCCACAGTCAAAAATCCACTGGTTATTTTTAATTTGGTTGGGTTTGGACCAAATTCTATTTATTGGGCCTGATTTGGAAAGAGTATTTAATCCCTCTCTCCAAACCCTACCCGTCATTTCGCCTCTCCTTCTTACGCCGCTGCTCTCTTCTTCGACGTTACCCATGGCGATTCCGGCGAAGTTTTCAGACGCTTGGACGGCGGTGGTGCTGGTGGTCTCTTGATTGCCCACCACTGCCCCAGCGACCCCAGGCAGCTTCTTCCCCCTCTTTCGGCTGCCAGGCCACCAATCTGGGTACCCGATTCTCTTGAAGCACCCTTCTGCGGTGTGCTTGATTCCGCCACAGTAGGTACATTTCAATTTTGATTTGTCCTCATTTATGCGAGATGACGATACTAGGTTTTTTTCCTTTTCCGATCGCAATCCAGCCCGTGTGGCTGCGAACCCACTGCCAAGACCTGAGGGATCTCCCGATGAAGGCCCATCGTCTCCCTTCATTATTCCTTTCCTGGTAGCCTTCCTCCTGAACCTCCTGATTTGGGCGTATGCCTCTTCTACGGAGGGGAGAGGATCTGTTTTGAGAATATCACGTTTTTGTACATCAAACTCTTCGTTTATGGCTTGTAGAAATTGATACAAACGATTTTGTTGTTGAATTTGTGTGAAAATCGTCATATCCTCTGGGCATTTCATCGGGTTGGGTCGCCTCCTGTCGATTTCCTTCCACACAGCTTGCAATTGGCTGTAGACCTTCTCTAGTGTCTGATCTCCTTGTTTGATGCTGCTAGCTTTCACCATCAAGTTGTATACCTGCAAGAGATCTTTCCCGAAGCCGTAGGTGGCTTCAATTCCCTTCCACAGATCCCAAGCAGTTGGATAATCGATATATTGATTGACAATATCTGATTCTATGTTTTCTAGAATCCATGTTATAACTGTTGAATCTGCTTGTCTCCATTTAATAAATTTGGGATCATCTGATTTGAGAGGTGTGGCAGTGATGTGCTTGAGCCGCCCTCTCCCATCCAACGCCAGACTCATTTTGCGCGCCCAAATGGCGTAGTTCCTATCGTTGAGCTTTTCCGCCATATTTAATGGCTGATTGGAAGAGCTCTCGATAGGTTCGGCCTTGGGTGCCAAATTCTGAAAATTTTGAAGAATTTCCAGAATTTGTGCAAGATTGATCAGCTGATTTTTCGGGTCAGATTCCTCTGTGTTTATGGAACTGCCCGTTTGAGGAGTTTTATCGGACATTTTTTTATGGTATATGATGAATGCTGCGTTTCATTCAATTGTTTGATCGAATGATGGCTTTGATACCATATTAGAAATATTAGAATGAATTCACAGCATAATATTCATCTTATTAAATTCATCATCAAATGATGAGTATAAATATTACAAAGTGAATAATCAAGACAATCAAGGAAGGTAAGTGGAAGATAATCAAATATCTTTGATTGGTAATTTGATTCCAATCAAGGATATTATCCTAGTCATCAATACTATTCCTTTGTTTGACACTATTCCTTTGTTTGACATTTCTAACAAATACAAATCACTTTGCAAAAATTTTAATACTTTTAATAATTCTGAATTCTCGTACATTTCAGAAAACATGAATAATAAGTTTTTTCGGTACATGTGATTCATAATATACAAGGAGAATTTTATTTCAATAAAATTAAAATTAGATTTAGATGAAGGGTGTGGTAGCTTCTAATACCCTGTTTCTAGTTCAAAGACACTCAAAAAGAGGTTTAGTTCATGTTTATGCTATTTGGATGCTAACCTTGACCTAGGATGACCAAATTAATTCAAAGAACACACATTCCCAAAAACCAGTTCTTTCAAGCCTTGATTCAATTTCAAAAGACTAAATATTAAAAAGAGGCTATCTTTAAACATAATCAAACATTCTTCTATAAGAAAACAACAAAATGAGAAAGAAAACATTTTTCTTGTTTGTTTAGAGAGGGAAAAAAAGGAAAATGGAAGAAAAGGAAAATAAGAAGGCAAAATGTACAAAGAGGTGAGAAAACCAAATTACTTCCATTTAATGAGAAAAATGAGGAAAAATCATTTTCTTTTCTTTTCCTTCCAAATTCTTTGAAGCAAATATAGTGAAAAAGTTAATCACTGCCACTGCACACTTTTTAAATTTGCAGAGTATTGACCATCTAGACAAATGAAAAAAATTATTATAATCAATAAGATTTAAATCAAATTGAGATTACAAGGAACAAAGTATGTCGGCTTGTGTACCATATCTCTATTCAATGTGGACTTTGCAGTTGGCCTCCCTTCAAAATAAAATAAACAATCATATTGGTGAGCAACATGAAAACATTATATTGCAAAAAAAAAAAAAAAAGCAAAAGGTTGTAGTTGCCTGACCTTTTGCACAAAAAATAGAAGATCCATTTTGTATGCAATGCCAACATCATTCTCTATATGCTGCTCGAAAACATGCACATTACCAGAACAAACTTATTTTCATTAGTAACTTGAAAGGAAATTAGTATTAAAATTAAGATAAGAAGAAATTTTTTTTTTAAAAAACATCATGAGTGAGATTTTAAAATTGGAACAAGGTTAGTTTTTTTAATGGAAAATCAATCACAAATCAGTGGTAGCTAGGGCTGTTCATGTTTAGGTCTATACCGAAAAACCCGACCGAACCGGACCAATAGGTCCAGACCGAACCCGGGACGAATTGATTTCGGGTCGGTCTTTGGTTCATACTTTTTAAAATTTCGGGTTTCGGTCCGGTACAGACCCGAAATAATATAGGTCCAGACCGAGAGGACCGATTGAAACTCTTAATACTCTGTACTCTGTAGTCTTGTATTAATGTGAGGGGACCGATTACTTTGTACATGAATTTTTATGAAATGTGATTAGTTCCGTTTTTTCCCCCACACACTTGGATCCGACTCGTGTGAGCCGGATACGACTCTGTGAGTCTGTGACTCGCCTGGCTACTCTCTTCCCCTTCAAATCTCCCGGCAACAAATTGCCCGATCGATCGTCGCCGGCAGCCGGCAAGTGGAATATCACCGGAGCGGAAACCATGCTGAAATTCTTGAAAGGCGTCGTCGGCGGATCTGGGACGGGCCTCAAGGATCTGCCTTATAACATCGGCGAGCATTATTCATCTGCGAGAGGACCGATTGGTTTTGTTTTTGGGATTTGAATTTCAGATTTGTTTTGGAATTGAATTCAGCTCCTTTCTTCAATTTGGGATTCATTTTTGTTTTACGAATGGATAAGGATGCTGGGTTTCTTGCAAAGTTTTATTGTGGGATTTGTTATTTTCGGTCTATTCGGTCCATTTAGGTTCGGTCCAATACATATCGGTCCGGTGTACAAAAGAAATGGATGGAAAAAGTGCATCTTTTTAAAGGGTACCTAACCCTCATTCCCATTTATATAATATAAAAGATAAAAGATAACATAGAAGATATATATATATATATATATGTGTGTGTGTGTGTGTGTGTGTGTGTGTGTGTGTGTGTTTGTGTGTGTGTGATGTGTGATTGACTCCAGTGAGATGACACCTTATGGTAAGATGACAT